GAGAACCAGAGACCAGAGACGGAGCTGCAGCTGGAGAACCAGGAACCAGAGACAGAGCTGCAGCTGGAGAACCAGAGACCAGAGACGGAGCTGCAGCTGGAGAACCAGGAACCAGAGACAGAGCTGCAGCTGGTGAACCAGAGACCAGAGATGGGGCTGCAGCTGGAGAACCAGAGACCAGAGACGGGGCTGCAGCAGCAGGTGATGGAGAAGCCGTGAACCCCTCCCTTCGCGAAGCTCTCCCCTTCTTGCGCTGGGTTCGGGGAGGGCCAGCAGTTTGCCCCCCTCTCTCCGATGATTGCTTGGCCCCACCAGGTGGAGAGCGAGGAGGAGGTGGGCAGCGGGGTGCAGCGGCGCGGTGAGGTGGAGAGGGACGGAGAGGCTGTGAGGACCCAGGTTTAATGGCCAGGCGGGTCCCCCAAAATGGATTCCTCCTCTCCTCCCTTTCTCTGACTTTCTGGGCAGTCTTCTCTGCCTCACGGGCAAAAAACTCGAACAGAGAAATCATCCTCCCGCTGGGTTCAGTTGGTCCGGTCATTCTGTCACAATCCTCAGTGTTGGAACCCAATTGCAGAGAGGCGAGCGAGGCAGGAGTTTAAAAATAAAAATAATTTATTTTTAATAACAAAACAAAAGGCTGTCGGTGCAGCAAAACTTACTTGGGCAGATAGGATCAGAAACAAGGCAGAGCAGATCATCAGGTGGACAAGCAACAGACAAGACAGAAGAGGACTGAGATGTCTGTGAACACAGAACAATGACCGGACAAGGAGTGAAGGAGAGAAAGGCTTTTTATAAGGCAGAGGGAGAGTGAGTAATGAGAGCACCTGGGCAGGTGGCTGATGAGGGACAGGTGTGAATGATAAAGACTGAGGAGTGGAGAGGCAGACTGAGGAGTGAGTGGAAAACAGGACCAGATACACAAAAACAGAAAACACACAAAGAGCAGAGGCTTAGGACACAGAAACAGAAACCACACAAAGAGCAGAGGCTTAGGCAGATGGGGGGGCAGCGGGGGCCGCTGACCGTGACATAGCCCCCCCTTTAAGGTCCGGCATCCTGACGG